TTGAAAAGGATTTGACCTCAAATCTGTTTTATCTGCATCAAAAGAAACAAAGTAAGTAACATTAAAACCTTTACCAATATTGTACTTACCTTGGAGATCAGTTGGATGATGTTTGTTGTTGTTATGTTGGAGCACTTGAAAGGGTCTATCCATCCTTGGCTTTAGCTTCAGCTTGTATATTCCATCTGGTGGTGCTTCTTTGATCAGTATGTAGCTACTGAGGTCTTGATGTTTATCTTGGTCCATATCAGGTGGTTTGAATCGGTTATCTTCCTCTCTTCTTCTAGTACTTCCCATGTTCTTCAAGACTGCCTTAACACCTGCATGGGGCTCTTTTCACAAAGACAAGTGAATCATATCTGTGTGATAAGGAATAAAAGGCTTTTTGAGAACGTAAACACTTACCTTAGGGATGCTCCTCTGCTCAAATAATGCATCTGGCGGATTCTCCTTGAGTTGAATGGAACACATGAGTGTTTCTCCTTGACCAAGCATCAACACTGAATTACCGTTAGTAAAATCCCTAGTGTCACTCATGTATCTGTCTTTGGATTCTTTTCGGATGTATGGAGGTTGATGCCAATCAGGAGGCTTTTCTTTGATCGTCAATGGATTTAGTGCACCTTTAGCTCTTCTCAAGTCTTCATGGCTATGGTGTAGGACATTGAATGTGCTTTTCCTTGATGTCAATTCTCCTAAATATTTATGCTTCTCCATTGCTCCTGTTCTTTTCTGAGCACTCATGGGACAGAGCAAGTGCATTATACTTGAAGTAGAAAATTCAAGAACATGATCTTTCACATTGGGATTGCAAAGCTCAATGAATGGGTTCAATTCACATGACATGTTTTTAAGCACATGTTTTGTTTCAGAAAATGTTTTAACCAATGCATATTCAGTTTTACTTCTAAACAGCTCAAATGCATTGCTACACAAAGAAATCCTCAAAGAATAGCTAAATTCATGAAACTCATCAAAAAGAAAACCGTTTGACCTAAAGAATTCTTCAGGTTTGAATGCTTCAAAAGTTGGAATCATTTTGTCAAAAACAGATTTTGAAACACGAAACTATTTTACCTTTTCTAAACCAAAACGTTTTTCGTCTTGAGCAGAAACTAACACAAACAAATTAGTTTCCTTACAGTGCTTTAGTTTGCATCCATTTGCCTTACGGATTGGTTCTGGAACGAAGTCGAGTGGCTGCTCCAAGTGACTAACTGAAGCAAAACTCCTTGGTGTTTCTTCTAGTGATTCATCTTCTACGACCTGCGAAACAGTAACAATACTACTCGGATGCACCGGTTCTAATTGGATTAGTGTTTCACAAGCTTGATTATTTTCAAGCACAAAATCAGGTTTCTTAGACAGATCACACGTATCTTTCACAATTTCAGTAGGAAGAGGAAACTTAGCTTTTTCTGAAGGAGAAGGAAGAGCACACTTAGCTTTTTTGGGTTTGTTATAAGTGTTGAGAATCTTGAGAACTTCTTCTTTAAATTGTTCTTCTGCCATGGAGTTGCTCCTAGCGCTTTCCTTTCGTTCCTTGGGAGCTAAGCTCTTCTTATGATGATCAGATCTCTCTTTAGTAGCAAAACGTCGATGTGAGACTGGTTTCTTTTCTCTAACTGCTAACTCTTGCACTGTGGCATTAGCTAGTGGAGTGCATGGTGCTTGCGGAGCATACTTATTCCTTAGTAGTTTTTTAAGATCTCTCCATGAGGTGATAGGTGGCTCCTTGTAATACCAGCGATCATCAACTTCTTGTACCCACCAGTTGTAAGCGCCTCCAGTGAGTTGGCTAATTGCACATCCTAATCTCTTCTCGCTCAAGAAGTTGTGGTAATAAAACCATTCGTCCATGTTTTTCTCCCACTCTAGGTAGTCTCTTTATCCTGAAAATTTATAGAGTGCATTAGCAGGTGGAGAATCACAATAAAGCACAGTGGATTTAGGAGTATGAGAGATTTTCTGCAGGCTGCTCCATGTGGATCTCAATGTGTTGTCTGGTGGCTTGGGTTTAAGCTCTTGTTCCTTTCTTTTCTTATAAGCCTCAAATTTCTCGTCCATCATTTTTGTCATTGTGGCTGTGAGAGCTTCAAGCACTAGTTTGCTGTAGTTTTCTCCTTCCTTTGCGTTCACCATGTCCCTGCAATGACCAAAACAAAATAAACAAGTAAAGTGTTCCTTGTAGATCGAGTAACAAAGCAATCAGAATCTGAAAAGTCAAGATTCTACACAGCTTCTAAAGAACTCCAATCGAGCAAGCATAGAAGTCAAAGAGTTTTGTTCCTAATCGCTCGATCGAGTACATATTTGACTAGTTCAGAACGTGAACTAAACGATTTAACAAGTTTCATTCAAATCGGATAAGTACTCAAGCCTAAAACGATGAAACAATTTCGCAACACAAATCAGAACTCGAAAAGTCTAGATTGATACAACCTGACACGAAGTGGCTCTGATACCACTTAATATGATCCTGGTTAGAGATCACAGTCCCTTGATGCACTTCGTGTGATTGAATGCAAACAGTTTGCGGATTGACTGTTTTTGAGTAGTGGTGATCGAGTATATGATCAAGAGTGGTGATGTGATCGAGTAGATGGTGTGATAGAGTAGATGGTGTGATTGATTAGATGGTGTGATCGAGTAGATGGTGTGAGGATTGGGTGATGGTGTGATCGAGTAGATGAGTGGTGATGGTGATGATGCGATCGAGTGATGGATTGGTGAAGCGGATTGAATGGAGTGATGAATGATGATGATGAGGTCGAGTGATGGTGACGATGTGATGAAGGTGAAGACGATGCGATCGAGTAGATTAGTGGTGATGGTGATGATGCGATCGAGTGATGGATTGGTGAAGCGGATTGAATGGAGTGATGAATGATGATGATGAGGTCGAGTGATGGTGACGATGTGATGAAGTTGAAGACGATGCGATCGAGTAGACGAGGGGTCGAGGGAAACTTTCAAAGGCTGCGGGATTCCTTCGAACTTTTGGGCTTGATCATGCTTAGATATGACACACCAAGAGCATTCACCAGATGAATTCGAGATATTACACACTCAAACTCAAGATCAAACAAAATCAGAAAAGATGATTGATAAGAAATTGTTTGATGAGTTCGAATACAAGGAGAAGAACAGAATATAAAGAAGTAGAAAGAGTCTAGGAAGTTGTAGAGTCAACCTAGGGAAAGAAAAAGAAATAAACACACAAGACTGAATTCGAAATTAAAACGGGCTTCTCCTTGGCAATGGGCTGCGAGACAACAACGGGCTCGAGTAAAGAGTGTGTGGGCTTGCCTCGTTAAAAACCTCTCTTGGAAAACCCATTGGGACAAAACCAAGAGGAGGGAAAAAGAGTGCAAGTCACACACCTCCATTGTTATCACTTGAAAGGCTTTAATCGTAACCAATGCGGTTGGACAAGCATCATCTTCAAGGCTGCCCTCAGTCTGTTGTAGAAGTGTTGTAATGGCTTGATTTAGTAGCTTTGTCTTTGATCTTGTCATGGGACCGTTGGAAAGATACAATGTAACATTCTCTTCAGCTCCAAGCTCTCTATCTTCATACTTGGTCGAGTGCTTGATCGAGTGGTTCATTGAGTCATCAGTTTCAAGCTTCATTGAGTCTTCAGCTGCATGGTCGATTGAGTGGTCGAGTGACTGGTCGAGTAATTGGTGGTCGAGTAGTAGGTGGAGTGACTGGTCCATTGAGTGCTCGATTGCCTGCTCGATTGACTGCTCGATTGACTGCTCGATTGACTGCTCGATTGACTGGTAGACTGACTGGTCAAGTAACTCTTCTGGTTCAAGCTGCTCCTTAGCTTCGTGTTCCAAGCTTCCCAATATCACATCAGAAGATAAAATTGTAATGGTGGGTATATACTTTAATTTTACATGTAAAATATGATGACAATAACAACTGTTGACTAATTTATTTTTTTGTTTTTAACAGGAATGAATGAGGACAAGTGATGTTTCAGATGGAGAACGTGTTTTTTAGTTTAAAGACATGACTAGCTACTTTGTGTTCTTTTGGGTCGTACACTGGATCTTTGTCATTTTTTTTTTTTTTTTTGGATTATAATGTTGAATCAGAATTTCTATGTTTCAGATATTAATTTAATGGGGCAAGTTATTTAATTTTTGTTTTTAAAATGTTTGAGATATACTTAAAAATATATTGAAAGATAATAAGCCAATTTTCAAAACTTTCGTTATATTATTAGTTAGAGATAATAATTTGGATATATATCAATATATAAATAATCCAAATAGTTTAGTGAAAAATTAAAAAAATTAGATAACTAAATATTAATTGTGAATATAAATAAAAATTGATGACACAATAAAAAAAAGGTGTCCGTACGTATGTGCGTAATCAGTCGTACGGACGTGAGTCGTCATTCGTACGGACGCACTCACCGTTCGTACGGATGTAGTAACCGTTCGTACGGACACATTTACCGTTCGTATGCAAATTGACGTGTAGCAAAATTTAATGTATATTTGTATATAATTATGAGTTATTAATATTAATTAACATTAAAAATGAAACTTTATATCATATAGTAATATAAGATATAAACCCTAAACCCTATACCCTATACTTATAGCTCTTAGTTGAAAGCATTCTACACCAATATATGAAAACATGAAATTAACAATGTAAAACGTATAACAAACTAAATTTTAAGCATATTCATTTTATAGATATGAAGTATACATATGAAACTATTGAAAAAAAAAAATCTTTAATATATATTACATTTAGTCACTAATCTTATATTAACTAATTTATTTGTGTATAAATTTGATTAATTAATGATAATATAATTTAAAAAATTTCTAAACTCTAAAATATGAAACTTCAATTTTTATTTAATTTTTACACCATATTCCAAATTTAATACAAAGAAAAATAACAAAATACTATACTATTAACATACAAATCGTAAAACAATTATCTCATTGGCTAATTGATTAAGGTGTGGATCACCGAATTATTCATATCTACCGTTGATTAGACTAAATCTAACGGTCAATAATCCACTCTGTTTTAATTAACTTTTGTACATCTCGATATCTACTTTTCTGTCTCATTATTCGATGTCTTCAAAGGAAACCCAATAAACTCAATCTCGAAGCTTCTTTCACCATCGCCAAACACAAAAAAACACCATCGCCGAATCTAAAGGTTTTATTCCCTCTTTCTGTTGAATCAGATATTTCTTTTGGATTATGTGCTTTTGCTTGTTTCTCGAATCCCTGATTCTTTTTTGCTTTCGATAATTTGATTGAATCTTATGTTAAATAAAGTCGATATCTAAAGGTTTTTTTTCCCTGTATTAGTGTTGCTGTAAAACCATTCGACTCTAACATAGATTGAGAAAGGGACCCGAATGATAAATCTGAAAGGATAACTTGTATATTTTTGATTTCATTTGATGTTTTTCAGTTTACTTAATAGTTTTTGTTTCACAATGAAATCTGTATTTCCATTTATTGTTTGTTGAAGTAGATCTGCCTTAGGACAATGACTATTGCGACATTGATGAGTTGCTGCTTCAGTTTGGAATTAGGTTTTGTCTTTGCTAATGTAAGTCTAGCGTAATTGGTCACTGTGAGGTTAATATGTTGGATGTTGAGATTGTTGATGGTGTTGCAGATATTCAATAGAATCATCCTAGGCTTTGGCTTTGCAGATATTGAACCCAACACTGATAGTGATTCTTATTAGATTTAAGAAATATAAAAACAATATCTGTTAAAAGATTTTAACCTTCTGATAGATCTTTTCATTTTCAGGTTTCGGAGCTAGATATCACAGGTTCTACCACATTTCGTCATTCAAGCAAAGGTTATATTCTTTTTTGTTGAATTATTTTGCTTTCTTTTGATTGTTGTGGTTGATAAAAAATAAACCTATCTAAACAATATCATATTTGGTACTGCAGAAACTGTTAGTTAAATGGAAGATAAAGGACTCATATGCGGCCTCCCCGCTAAGAACGTTGTACCAACATTCCGATAACCGACACAACAACAAGCAAAGAACGATCAACAAACTGATGCGGGTGAGGACCTGAAGGAGATAACAGAGCTAGAGTTTAGACGGTCTTGTGCTCACCTAGGCTACTTGATAGTAAGATTTTAGCTAAGATCAATTATCCTTAAAGTACTATCATGTCATTGCAGTATATAAGGTGTCAATCCAAATGGGTGTGATGCTAGCAATCAAGATGCAATCAGATATCACAGAGTCAAGCCAAGCGATAACAGGTTTTGGTGTTGTTAACAGCTCTAGCGATCATGCAGATAACATAAATTCTAACAATAACAGGCAATATACTCGATCACACAGCTTGATGCCAAGCACTGGATGTGGTCGAGTATCAGGTCGAGTAATTTAACAGAAACTGTAAACAGGGTACTCGACTGCACAGTTTGTTACCAAACTACTGGGTGTGGTCGAGTACTTCAAATGAAACAGGGTAGAAATGATAAAACTGTGCAACAAGTAACAAGATCAAGCAATCAATAGTGATGTAAACAAGGGAATCAAATGGAAGAGAAATTCCCGAGGATGGGGTAATCGAGTAGTGAAGTCTCCTTAATCTAACAGGTGGTTAACATGCTCAACAAACTATCCCTAGACAACAAGTTCAATAACCAAATCAAAGTGCTACCGCAACAGAGATCCTCAAGCAAAGCTAGTCCCAGACTCAATCACCATTGACGAGAGCTAACTTAACAGGCATTACGAAACAACAAATCTAAGTCAAAACTCTCCCTGTAACCAATACCTTGGTACAGAGCCACGAATCTCTGGAATTAGTGGTTCAGACATTTCATCGAACACCTTTTGGGTGCGGAAATGTCTGGGCTCAGATTCCAGTTGATCAGAAAGCAATCAGCATTAAGAACAACTAATCCAGAAGGGATCTACCAACCAAACTCAACCACCTAGCAGATCAAGGATTCTAAACTACTCTAACCCATCCTCAAGAACCCTAATCACTACTCAAAACTCATGAACATGAACATAAACCCAGAAATGCATAAAAACTTCATACTAGCAAGATCTCAACAAGATGAACAACTTTGTAGAAGAAATCAAAAGCAAATACTCAATAGATTAAGAGAAATCTGGATTACAAATATGAAGAAAGCACTAATTGTTCTGCAGAAAAAGACTTAGACAGAATAAAACTTAGTCTCAAAATTATGAGAAACAACCTATTTATAGCAAATACTAGGAAACCCTAAATCACAAGACGACAAAGTATTAAGGCGGTTTACGGAGATACTCGACCCTTGTGATCGAGTAGAGAGGTTGAATAAAGTTGGCGCCTTTGCGATTTCTTGCTCTGGGCATGTCGTGATCGAGCATTTGGGTCGAGTATGTGCTCGAGTTCTGCTTCATCCTCTTCTCTTCCTTATGCTCAATGTCTGGTTGAGTTGGGATCTGAGAAGACTGTGAAGCTTGTGATCAAGTGGCTGCGGGGAGGTGGTGATCGAGTAGATTGGTTGGTGGCACGCTCTGGACTGCTTCTTCAACCCTGCGATCGAGTATGTGGGTAGACTGTCAGGATGGACTGCTCCTCTTCCTCTGTAATCGAGTAGAACTGTGAACTGGCAGGATGGACTGCCCTGTGATCGAGCAGAACTGTGAATTGGCAGGATGGACTGCCCTGTGATTGAGCAGAACACTCCTGATGGTCTGCTGAGCTGACTGCTTCCCTCTCTGCTACTGGTGATCGAGCAGAATGGTCTAAATGTGACTTTCAGCTATGTTTTTCCTCTTTCTGAACACCAATAGCCCCGAAGCACCTGAAACAACTCCAGAATGCAAAATGCATGCAAGACTAATGCTAGACACACTTAAACATGCAAAATGTGCAAAATGATGAAGAATGCTATGAAAGATGAATGAAACTAGACTCAAAATAGTGATAAATGGATGTATAAAACATGCAAATTATAGACATATCAACTCTCCCAAACTTAGTCTTTGCTTGCCCTCAAGCAAACAAGTAAACATAAGATGAAGGAGAGGTTTGAAGGTGGGGACTCAGAACCAAAGCATGCAGACAAAGCAAATGAACTCAATGTCCAAGTTAGTAATTGTGGAATGCATAGAGACCAAACTCTACTTAAAAACTATAGCCATATTCATCACAAGACAACCTAACATTTGTTCCAATCTACACACACCTTCAGATCATCAATTCCCTTTAACATTGATTAAGCTCAAACCATGAATCAAGCAAAACATTTGTCAAAGAACTCATTTGGTTTAAGGGACAAGGCTGAGAAACAAAGATGGTTTCTCTGTAAATGGTTTCAGACTTTTTCACAGTAACAGGGAACTCTCATGAATGGACAGAGCTTTAGTAGAATGCTAAAGGTTAGAACCAACCTACGCATACAAGAACAGACCCCATCTACCCAAATAACCATAAGTATATCAAACCCCATAGATGGACCTATCTCTAAACCCATAAATGATCCTAATTCTACCCTTTGCACTCAAGGCATGTTTCAATAATTTCTTGGATCAACCCATTCTTTCTTTTTTGTTTTGTTCTAAGGAGAGGTTTTCTTTTAGACTTTCTAGCGGATTGGGACTTTCTTTAACAACTAAGGCTCTTCTTTTCATCTCATGACTTAAGACATTTCTAGGCTTTTGCCTTTCTTTTTACTTTGCACAGAGCCTAACTTTTTTTATTTTCAAGCTTCCCAAATCCTTTACTAGACTAACATGATATTCTTTTCTGTTTCACTTCCATCTCCTAAGAACAATAACACTTGTCTTTCTTTCTCAATTTTATTCCAAACACATTTCCAAACCCAAAGTAAAACTCCCACCTAGTCCTATCTAGCCCAAAAAGCGTGGACTAGAACTACATGGGATACCATTCTTGTCGGTTCATACCTAACACTTTCTACCAAGCTCAATCCGGAAATAGGCCTCACACACACAAATTTATTCAGGGCTTGAAAGAAAGGTTAGGTTCAGGGTGGGGGAAACTGTTCCAATGATGGGAATCAGCTACTTGGATTAGCAAGAGTGGTAGAAAGTGAAAGAAAATCCAAGTATGTGTATTGGTAGCCATAAGTTCAACAACAATGCAAAGACATGATAATTATAAGTCAAGTTCAGATTCTAATAGATAGGGAAAAGAATCACATCAAGCATGCTTCAATTAAAACAAGAGAGTCAAGTTGTGAATTCCAAATATGGTGCAGTCTTAATTCAAGTTCTATCACAAGCATTAAACAACTAACAACGAGGGCATTGAATTCATTCAGTAAATGAGCATGCTTACAAGGTCATATCATCATCATCCCCTATGCATATGCATGATGCAACAATCATAAGTGAAAGCATACTAAAACAATCCTAAAATGACAATGCAAACTACATGAACACTCTGTTTTTGCGAAATCATTTTCAGAAATTTTCAAATTTTTAAGGTTTTTTCAATGACATAAATGAATGCAGACAATATGTACAATGCAAAAAAAATTTGAAAACAAGGACAAAGCAAACTCATCAGATACTTCCTGAGCCCTCCCCCAAACTTAAATCACCCAGTCCTCTGTGTGACCATACTTGGAAGAGAGTACTCAAGACAAATAAATAAAGAAAAAAGACATGAAATGGTATAAATAGTGAGAAATGGAGTTGTTACCTCAACTGAAGAAGGAGTTGATGTGCTCATCAATGCCTGCTTTGTGTAAACTGCCAGGCAATTGAGGAGTCTTGCTGTTGTGCTTCTGCTCCTTCTCCTTCTTGATGCTCGACCATGTCATCTCATTACCATGTGGCTTGTGTTGGTCGAGTATGATGTTGATTTTGAAAAATTTGGATCAAAAATCACATCATACTCGACTGCAACTCTTCATTACCATGTTGCCTCTTGTGATAGAGTGACATGTTGAAAATCCAAAAATCTTGGAACCAAAACCCCACTGCATACTCGATTGCACTGTACCACTGTCATCCCATATGCTTGATCGAATATAACCTCCAAAATTCAAAAATCAAGACCACTTCACTTTGCACTTGATACTCATTTCCTGAAAACCAAAACACTACCAAACGCATTAAAAATAACAAGGAAATAAAAATATGTACATGGATAGACATGGGACTTCCTCCCAAGTGAGCTTGTTTTAAGTCTCTAAGCTTGACTCCTCACACTCATTAGGCTTAGGGTGGTTTGCAGAGAGGAAACGAGGTCTCCTCTTCTTCTTCAGTAGATGTATCGTCAAACTCAACATGCTCTTCTGATAGGTCTGCAATTGGGTACTCAGTGGCCATGTCCTTGAAGAAACCTTCTTTTTGATCAGGAGGATGGTCTTCTTCTCTAGACCATTTCAATGTGAATTCACATCCTTCTTTGCTGACCAAATTAGTGGCTCCATCATTTTGGACGTCCTTGATGTTGAGTGGCACTTGGTTGGCTTTTCCATGGAGCTCCTTGATTTGATCCTTTAGCTCTTTCACAATTTCTACTAACTCCCTTATGGTTTTGTCCTGCCATTTGGATCTCTCCTTGAGCTCTAACCAGCCATCTGGCGCGAAATTGCTAGACTCTAGCAGCTTGTCAAGATGTTTGATCGAGCTAGAGTTTTCCAGACTAGTTGAAGGTTTGCTCAAGTGTATACTCGAGTCAGTTGGTTGAACATGTGTTGAGCTTGCTTCATATGCTGCCTTACCCACTGTTTCTGACTCAAACAAGTCTTTTAAGACCTCTGACCCTGCTATTTCCTTGTGTGAATCTAATGACTTACCACAGCTCAAGGTTTCAGTGAGAAGATATCCTGCTTCACCATTCTTAGTCAAAGAAGTGTGTTGGTGATCTTCCTCAGCAACCTCCTCTAGCAGTTCATCAGCTAGGCGATCCATTATCTTTACTAAGAAGGTTTGTCCTTCAATTGTTGGCTTTCTCGTGGCGTCATTGATGTCAAACATCATTTTGAAATCATTTCCCAGATTAAGATCAATCTTCCCATTCTTAACATCAATGATAG